TCGCTCCTCGGAGCCCTGACCTCCGCCGGGCACCCGGGTGCACCCCGGGGGCTGCGGGCTGCCCGGTAGCCTCGTCTCAGCGGGGTCCGCAGACCCTCGATGCGTGCTGTGTCCCTGCAACCTCGGCCGCTGGCCTCGCTGCTTGGGGGTAGAGGTCTGTGTGCGGGCTGGAGCCTTATCCCCTGCTTGGGGGGGAGCAGCTGCCTCTTCTTTCCCCCTAGCGAAGTGCCTGCGTGGCTTGGCCCTGAATGCGGGGGACTAGCTGCGAGGTAGTGTGCTATTTAAACAGGAGCGCAGTTAGTGTGGTGCTGCTGCAGCAGTTGCTTTGCTGCTCCTTGCCCTGCCGCTGAGGGACGGGAGCCCCTTAACCAGCTGAGGGAAACCTCGCCTGAGCCCTCCAGGAGGACAGTGCAGGCATGTGGACTCATGCCTGAGTAATGAACATCCTAGGCTGGGGAAGAGGTGACACACACGGCAGGAGCATGCCCTGCTGTTGGTTAGCCACAGGGTTTTCCCCCTTGGGCTGGTTGTGGGAGAGGTTGCTGAGTTTCTCTCTCTGGCTATTCCTCCTAGAGGTACCTGGCAGTAGGTGTGAGATGATAGAGCCTGGCTTTCACCATAGCCTGGCTCCCTGGCGACTGATGATGAGTTTGACCCCTTCCAGGGGATGCCTCCTGGATCTGCCCTGGGAAGACATCCTGGTTCCATATATCCTCTGTCATCTGCCACTGCAGCAGCTCCTGAGCCTGCAGAGGGTCAGCAAGTCATTCCAGTCTCTCATCCAGCTGTACCTGGCCAACATGCGCTGCTTTGACTCAAGCCAGGTATCTGATAGCTCTGAGACTGGGGGAGATTCAGATGTGCTATTGCTCTGCAGCTAATGTGGGAGCAAGTGGCTCTATGGGAGGTAGAACCCCCTGACAAGGAGGCTAGTTTCTGCTCGGGAGCTTGGGTTAATGGCTTGCATTTCGGACTGGACAGATGAGCGCAGGGAGGAGAGGTGGTGATTCAGGGCCCAGCAATGTGACCCTCTTTAGCAAGAGGCTTTGGGGAGCAGTGTGCCTGGAGCTCCACCCAGGCCATTACAGGGCACTGGCTTGCAGAAGCACAGCCAGCTCCAGAGTGGTGCAGCCTGTCGGGTCTCAGCTGGGGGGGTGCACTGGCGTGGGTCGGCCAGGAGATAACGTTGTGCTCTGCCATGAGGGAAGGCTTGTGCAAGCCCTGGGAGAGACTGAGTGGGCCTTGGAGATGCAGGAGTGGCTGCTGTTCTGTGAGCAGAAAAGAGTAGTCTAGCAAAGGGTTTCTGGAGAGCAGAGATGTGGAACTTGGCATGGGTGTACAAACTCAGTGGTGATGAGTGGAGTGGAGGAGATGGAGCAGCTTCTGGCTTCCTGAGGGCAGTGGCAGAAGCCTGAGCATGACATCCTGTGGGGAGGAGAGCCTTAAGATAGGGTTTCCCTTGGGACTAGGGGAGAGTGGCTGTGGTCACCTCTGTGCCACACAGGAAGAGAGGAGTGGGAAGAGTCTCTGGATGAGGGCCAGGCTGAGCCAAGCGGATTTGAAACCCTGGCGAGTGGTCATTCTTCCTGGGTTCCCCATGCAGATTGGGCCTGCCATCCCTAGAGCTGCTTTTGTTAACCTGCTGAAGGACAACGAAGTCCTGCATCAGCTGGCGCTCCAGAACTGCTCCGACTGGCTGACAGACAGGGAGCTGCTCCCAGTCATCGGGCAGAACCACCACCTGCAACAGATCCAGCTAAAGGGCTGTGCCCAGCTCAGCCGCCATGCACTGGTGGCCATCTCCCTGAGCTGCCCCAGCCTGCGCCGGCTCTCCCTGGCTCACTGCGAGTGGGTGGACAGCCTGTCCCTGCGCAGCCTGGCTGACCACTGCAAGGCACTTGAGTCTGTGGACCTGACGGCCTGTCGCCAGCTGAAGGATGAAGCCATCTGCTATCTGGCGCAGAAGTGCGGCAAGCTCAAGTCTCTCTCGCTGGCTGTCAATGCCAATGTGGGTGATGTGGCAGTGGAGGAGGTTGCCAAGTGCTGCCCTGAGCTGGAGCACCTGGACCTCACGGGGTGCTTGCGAGTCAAGAATGACTCCATCAGGTACTGAGCAACATGGGAAGCTGGGGTGGAGATGGTGGGGATGGGAAAGAAGGGGCATGGAGAGAGGAGAGTTGGATTTCTTTAGGCTGCGAGCAATGAGAGCTCTGTTTTTGGGGAGAAGCTGCTGGCTGGCCTTTCAGGAGAGTTAGGGTTTGCTACTGACAGCAAATTTCCTGGGATGCCATAAAGTGTAGTTATGGGACATTGCTGACTTGATCTGACCATGTCCCTTGACTTTCTCTCTGGGGCTGTAGGGATGCTGCTCCCAAAGTACAGCATGTGTGGGGCACAGTGGTGAGTGCTGGCCTGCTGGGAGTAGAAAAGGGGGCGAGCTGTGTGCTCAGGAGTCCAGGCTTACAACCTGTGTATGTTCTCTTTCTTGGCAGGGTCCTGGCTGAGTACTGTCCCAAGCTGCGCTCACTCAAGGTGAAACACTGCCACAATGTGGCTGAGTCCAGCCTGAGCATCCTCCGAGGCCGTGGAGTGGAGCTGGATGTGGAGCCTCCGTTGCAGAGGGCCCTTGTTCTCCTGCAGGACGTGGTTGGCTTTGCCCCTTTCATTAACCTCCAGATCTAGAACTGCTGCTGCTGGGGAAGGGGGGGGGCAGACATGATGCTGGGATCCCAGGAGGATGCTGGAACCAGTTGCTGCTGAGACATGCAGGGAGAGAGGTCGGTTGGCAAGGCTGGCTCACTCATCTCTCTGGGGCTGTTTAGCAGCCACTAGGTGTTCATAAGTGTGCTCTGATGGTGTCCCCTGGGAAAGTAACTCCCTCTGCAGTAGCATGGAGAGAGTGAGTGACTTACAGGAACACCATGGTGCTGAACAGGCCTTGGCCAGGCCAGCCAGTAGACAGGACTTACTATTTTTTGTATTTTAAAACTCTTAAGTGGCAGCTGTCCAGAGAGCAGGAGAGTGTTTGATGGGAACTGTGGACTACTGTCCCCTAGGGTGGGTATGCAGGGCATGCCTGATGAACTGCTGGGAACAAACCAGGCCAGCTGGAGCAGAAAGGAGAGAAGCTGCCAATCCTGCTCTTGGAGAGGGCAGGCCCCTCTGAGCTCAGGGAAAGTGGCAGTGTGAGCACAGCTCCAACCTGCAGCAACTGGCTAGCTGGCACCAAAGGGCTGGCAGAGGCCCAGCTCAGGCAACGTGTATCCAGGCTTAGCTCCTTGCCGATGGACACTGGTTTAGGCCAGTGCAACGGAGAAGTTGTTCTCTGGTATTCTGGGGGAATGGGATCCTGCTGCATTTTCACTAGAGGAAACGCACCAAACCTAGCTATGCTATCACTGAAAGCAGTTGATGGTTGCTGCTTGTTTCTTCTAGATTCTGATTTACACTTTAGTAGTGTCCAGGCCTACTGAAACTCCATCTTGCTCCACGTCACAGGGCTGTGGCTTTCGCATTCAGTAGTGGTGAGAGAAATGGCAGAGGCCCTGGCTGTATTTTCAACTGCAGTTTATGGAGCGCTGCAGGTTGTGTTGGCAGGGGTGGCCTAGCTCTGGTCTAGAATCCAACCTCTGGCCTTCTAATCCACTAGGTGGTTAACCAAACAGCAGCCACTTCTTGTGGATGAAGACAGTGATTAGGGTAAGAGGCGACCCTGCTCCTGTCCTTGGCCAAGGAGGGGTTGGAGGCAGTGTCTATAAAGCACGTGCACTCTCCAGCTGAACTACACACCAACTAGCATGATCTTTATTAACACTGGCACTCAGTTTAAAGCAACAGTGCACACAGACTTGTAAGAAGCTTGCTGCAAAAGCACAAGCCACATCTTAGATCTAAAAATGTCCCATGCAAGGAATAACAGAGAATGCCCATGACCCGGACAGCTGGTGCACCCCTAGGGTGGAGGGAGAGCTACACAAAGAGAGAAGGCTCCTCCTTGCCAACTCAGTTAGTTGGGGAAACTGAAAGCAGTGTCCTGGCTCCCAGGTTAGTTCCAGTTAGTGGAGGGTGGAAGAGTATCCTCTCATCTCTAGTGCCACATGTCCATCCTTCCATGCCCGAGCTAGTGAGGCAGAGGCTGAAGAGCAGGAGAGACTGGCTGTCAGTGGAACTTGTACTTCCTGGCTGGTTTGAGGCTGATGTAAGTCCTCTTCATCTCCTCTCGCTCTCTGGCTTCTTTATGTCTTTGTACCTCTCTCCCTTTGTAGTCACCACCTGGTTATCGATATAACGGATCAGCTTCTTGGGAGCCTGGAGAAGAAAGACATTGACACTAAGTGGACAGCCACACTGCTGGGAAAAGGGAAGGGACAGGCACAAGCACGGGCTGGCTGGGGTAGCCAGCCAGACTGGGATGGGCTAATTTACCCATCCTGTTTGCTGGGAGTCTAGGTCAAAAATGGGAGGGAAGCTGTCTGGTGGGGAGGGGACAGGAGCCATGCTAGTCAGCAGTGGTTAAGTACTGACAGACCTTGCAGCACCTCCTAGCTAAACTAATCTTTCCTTTTTTGCTGACTAGTAGCCCTGTGAATGTTCCTTCCTTGCAATTGCCCTTCTGCTTTTTTGGCTTAGTCAGCTTTTTAGACCATGTAGCCAAAGGACTTTCAAAATGCTGGTGAACTGGGCCTGCTCTTCTCACCTCTTTTGGTGGAGCTGGCCGATGTGTTTTCTGATCTTCTGCACTATCCACCATCATGTATCTGAAACACAAGAAGCATTTAGCAAACACTGCAACATGCATTGCCTAGAGCTGCTCAGAGCCTATGTCTTCTCTCCCCTGGCTGGTTTGTAGTTGTGCAATGTGCACTACTTGCCTAGATTGCAGCTAGAAGCACTTAAAAGTTTCTCTCCGTATGAAATGGGAAAGGATTGTGCCATCCTTCTAGTAAGAATCCAGAAGGATTCTCCTGGAGTAGCATCCTTGGACATGTGTGAATAGTATCAAAAACTCAGGCTGCTGAGACAATGTAGATAGCCCCTGTTGAATGAAGAGGGGTGCTGAGGTCCGGTCTGTTATCCGGGCAGCTTTGCTCCTTTTCAGCCTCAGTGATGGCAGCTGAAGGAGACAAAGGTCAGATCCACACTGCACGGGGCTTAGCTGGCAGCTTCTGCCCTGAGGAGATGGTATGCCTTTAAAGCTCCATGTACTACTTGACTAGGAAAGTACTAGGATTTGAGTTGGAAGCAACTTCATAAAAGCATCACCTCATTCCCTATGTGACTGACAAATCAGGGCCCAAATATTTGCTTGCTGTACTGCTGAGTTACTGCTCTTGAGACTTTGTAGCTGGTTTAATAGGGTGCAGCTGACCATGACTTTTTCCTCAGTAATTATAGTTGCTCCTGCGTATATTCAACTACGGTGCTCTGATCTCTGTGTGATGTTTAAAGTACAGGATGTTGCCAAAAATGTCATTAAAGTGAAGTTCCCAGAAACATAACTGGCAGGTGGCACTTCTTGTTCTCTTATGTGCTCCTCTGGAGCAAGCCTGCACATAAGACAGGCATGGACAGGGATTGTTAATTCAGTCTGGATGCCATTCTGCCTTGCTTTATCTTCCCTAGACCATCAGCTGTTTTTTCTGTCACTGGGGAGGATGTAAAGTGGTGGAAAAGATGTGGCTGGATAGACATGTGGAGTCTGCATGCCCACAGGACACTCATGAAAGCTGAGATCTTAAAGCAGATCGATTAAACCACAGTGTGTGTTCTCCTACTGAGAATTAAAGTGCATTTGGAAGTGAATAAAGCTAAACCAATCTAAAGCCATCTTCATTCCCAAGAAGTCTATAGGGGGATTTCAGAAAGGATTCTTTAAATGCATTGAATTCACACCTTCAGTGACTGAGATTTAATCTTCCCAGTGCTGCTGTACAGACAGTCCCTTAAACAAATCTTTAGCCTTCTTTGGACTGTCTCCAAGGACTGATATGAATGAGCTGCTGTAGTTCCACAAGTCACCATGTGTTACCTGAGCTTGCAGCCTGATGTTTGTGCCTTGAACCTTTAACTGGGATCTCAGCTGACAATACTGTAACTTACTGTACATCTGTAGCAGGTTGAAGTCTCACAAACAGCCAAGTGCTGTGCCCCAGCTGATGCAGGGAACTTGCTTGTATACCAGAGCTCTAAAAGAATCGGGGAGATCCAAACCTGTTTTCCCATCCACTGATTATTCTTATGCTCACGTTTCAGCCACACCCAAATTGGCCTCATGGCATCTATCCGAAGCATCATGCAGCCCAAGCTCTTTATAGACCACGCTGTCATTCTGGCCTTGGTCATCTGCTCTGACCTGCTGCATCCTCCTTTATTGCAAACAGAATAAGGCTATAAGGGAATCCTTGCTGCTTGGTACTTACTTCTGCAAGATAACCTGTTTTAGTTCCTCGTGATTGGGTGTTCTGCGGGGCCGTGCCAGTTCCTGGGAGGAGACAAAGCAGGTGCATGAGCAGCAAAACACTTGGGGTGTACAGCTCCCCTGCTAGCTCAGCTGAATCCAGTTGCTGACACAGCATTGCCAACCCACATGGGAAGGGGGATGCCAGACACACAGCTCCTCTGGGGTGCTGGCTCAGCTATGGGCACAGCCTGTACTCCACCGAGCCAGGAGAGGGAGAGGGGGTGGTGTTTTGGGTGGTCCTCCTGGCTCGTTGCTGGGAGTGTGGAAAGTTCCCATAGGCAAAGTTTCAGCTTGCAGTAGACAACTGGCATATCCATATGTATCTGAGCCCCGCACTGCTCTTTGGCCTGGTTCCACCTAGTTCAGAGTACAATACCTTTGCGCTCACACCTGCTGTGCCAATTTCCACCTTCTCTTCCACAATTAACTGCACTGCCTCCTCCAAGTTCCCCAAGGCCATGGACAGTGCCTTCTCCGCCTGGCCCATGGTACAGGCAGGGAACATTTCCAGTAGCAGCTCCACCCCATCCTTCAAGTCACCACCTTCCTAGTTGGAGTAAGAGAGACATGGGCTAAGCTGAGGATGTAGTGGGGAGGTGGTAATTGAAAAGGGCCTCTCTGGTTTTGCATAAAGTCAGGAAATTCACCTTCATCCTTACACTTAGCTGAAGGCTGTCACTTCTTACAAGTGTGACTGTAAATCCCATTCCTGAAGCTGATACGGGATTGCATCTTTGGCAGGACAAAACACTGCTCGTCCTTAATCTTTTCCCCCTGTATTTCCTTAAGAGCAGGGCTTCTGTGGCCTGGCTCATCTGTGTGGCCCTAGCTTCCTCAGGAGCAAACGTTCTGGGCACAGTGGTGCCAGTGCTTCATTTTCTCTCCCTGCAAGGTGCTTTGCATATGTGCTTTGCACAGGAAATGAAGGCTTAGCTAGGCACAGTGCCCTATGGTTACCTCAGAAGGAAGTGCAGCAATAGTCCCTCCCGCCCGTGGACACCGAATGACTGACTGTAGAGCAGGAACAGATCTGTACTGGAGAAATGGCAAGCAGAGCTTAGGGGGAGGAGATGGGGGGTCTGGCCAGTGCAGCAATGCCTCTAGCATGGGTCATGCTGAATGGTGCTGCAAGATCAGGACCACTGTGCCAATGATGCAGTGCTGTGTGGCTCAGGAAATACACAGCGTGGAGGCTGCTTGAGGGTGGGACTCAGGTCTCCAGGACTGATACCCAAACGTGCCCAGTTCTTGTGCAGGTACTGCTTGATAGCTGGGGAGAGAAATGGAGTGATCCAGCTCAAACCGTAGAGTGACCTGGGAGAACATGGTGCAAGTGGGGTGACACCTGGCTAGGGCTGCAGAGGCATCCTTACTGCACTGCTGTTGGATCTCTGAGGGCCCTAGGACAGGCTCTCATTACGCGCCCCCCCCCCCCCCACCCCCACCCCCCCGCCCCCCGCAGCACGACATGAAGATATATGCCGCCCCCCCCCCCCCCCCCCCCAGCCACTACCTCAGTGACTTGGAAGGATGAGCCAGAGTGATGGCTCATACTCTTCTGGCAGCAGGTTAACTTTCTTTTTCCAGTTACTGACACAGACCTGTTGAGGCCACATAATGGAGGAGATCACAGACACCAGTGATACTGTGCCACAGCCTATGCTGCAGTACCTTTCAGAGCCAGAAAGTTCCCTTAGGTGGTAACCTGGTGCTGGGTGACCCTGCCCCCAGTGTTCCTGCTCCTCTGTGGGGTGGCCGTACCTGGGCCCCAGCTCCCTCCGTCAAAGTGCACAGCTGCTTCCTGTTGCAGGCTCCCCCTGCAGGCTCCTGGCCCTGGGTCAGGTCTTCAGAGGTCGCTTCGCTCCTGCCCTCCACAGCCTTTCGGCCAGGTTTTTCTTAAAGACATAGTGACATCTGTTAAGGAGCAGCCCCACAAAGGCAGGTCTGGGCTTTCTGTTAGTATTACAGTGCTAGCAGGTCATGTGCCAAAGCAAATTCCTTCTTAAGTGACAAGAGTGGAAAGCACTACTGCTCTTCCTGCCTTCAGTGGGGACAGCTGCAGCTCCAGTCACACTGACCTGCAGGAAGGCAGAACTAACACATGCTGGAGTGCCTCAGCTCTGCATTTCCAGGCCTTACCAGGGGCTGCTTGCGAAAAGAATTCTAGCTGTGAATTCTATGGATTTCCAATGCTTGATTGTGGATACTTAAGGCATTTTTTGTCATGTTTTTAAGAATTCTCTAGTGTTTGCTCTAACTGTGAACCAGGTGTGGTTTTGATTTTAAATTTGGGAATACACAATGGTGGTTCTTGTGCTGTGTGTGACCCAGCACATCCTGTGATCTGGTTACTCTGACTCATCTCTCTTTGCAGATCTGATAAAGGCTCTTTCTGTGTCACTCTAAGGAGAATCATTTCACCTCTGTTCTGTCACCTGTAAACTGGGACGGTGCTGTCCTTCCACACACAGGCCATCCATCAGGATCCTCAAAGGGTAAGATGCAGGGGACCAGAGCAGTAGGTTTTGTGAAGTACAAGAAAGCAATAAGTAGGATAAAATACAGGACTGTCTGTTCTACGCTGTATAGCCTTCTGGCTCCTGATAAAAAAGCAGTGATGTTGCCAGATGAGCAAAACCCAGACTAGTATGCCCTGAAAGGTTTCATGCCCAGGCACTTGACCTATCTTTTCTCTTGTGGGAAGTAGCTTTGAGGCTGGTTAATGTAGAAGTTCAGCTGATCTGTGAACACTGAGGCTAGAAAGGACTGCTAGGACGGTGTAGTCTTCTGCCATCCTGCATACAGCAGGCCAGAGCACCTCGCCAGTGACTCTACATCAATGCCAGGATTCATGGGTGAACAGGAAGTGAGTTTGGAGGATGCTCAAAGTCTACAAGTGATACACAGTGTCAGCTGGATTCTCTATTTGATAACGCACCTGACACAGGCTGCCCAGTGATACTGTCCCTTAGGCATATGGCTACCGGAGGCAGCAGAAATCCCCACCTTCAGAAGTAACCCACTGAATTTTGATCAGCAGCCTGGTACCTGCCATTTCTTCCTCAGTACGCTGGATCTGCTCTGAGAGATGTTTGGAGATCTGGTCAAGTGTATTTTACCCTCTTCCCCCACCCAGTATGTCTTGGATGCTATTCCATGTGATGTAAACCTCCCATATGTGGATCTCAAAAACCTAAATGAATAGTATAAAAAAAACCAATCAATTCAGGCTACCCTATAAGATCCTAAACGTTGCAAACAAAATTGTGTTTTATTCTGTGACTTTGCTCAACCCCAAACACTAAGACTGAAAGCAGGTGCAGAATATACTTGTGCTGAAATTCCCTGTGTAACTCACCTTTTGTGCGAGCTTCACCAAGCCTTTCTGAGAGAGAGAACATCATTTCGCAAACATCCCCACTGCAAGAGGCAAAAACTATGCAATTAGTGTGAGGAACAGAAGCACTATCCCATCCTACTTGCCCACCTCTTTCTAGAAAGACAAGGCTTGCTGTGAAGCCCAGCGTCACAAACTGGCATTTCAGATGGCCCAGGACCTACTTGCAAACAATAGTGGGATTAGCATTTGTGTATCCAGGTGAAGCCTGACTTAAACAAAATGGCACACGTTTGGTACTAATGCATCCTGATACGGCTGTAAAAAAAATTTATGGTATTGATGACCTTAGGTCTAGGCCCCAAAGCATGGCATGCACATACCAAACAATCACATTCACACACCTGTGGATTTCTGCAAAACCAGGAATATACGCCTCCATCATTTCCACAAAGGTGTCCATGTCAAAGGTCTCTTCAGAGGACTCTGGTGAGCCCAGTTCTTCCAGGACACCCGTGATGTAGGAGAAAAAAACATCATCCATTCCACTGGAGACAGAGAGAACATAGGACATGGAAGCAGGGTCAGCAGGCCCAGTCTCTCTCTTTCTCTCTCCATCTCCCCTCCCTCTAATCTTGTGTCTTTCTAAATGGAGCAGCAGAAGAACCTATGTGGCCTGCCTCTTATCTTATGGAGGGATCTCAGTAATAAAGCCAGGTAGCAGGTAGTCAGTGGCTGAGTGGGAAACATTTAGGGATAATAGAGGATACTGCAAAAAATACTACATCCCTTCATCTTCCTGAGCAGCACTGCCAGAATGCCCCAGCATGCGGCCAGAGGCTGTGTTACTGGAGGTACTTCAACTGAGCTGGAATATTGTAAGTGCTCAAACTTTGACTTTTCAGTGTTGACTGATGTTTCAGGTGATGTCATTATACTCTTGTCAACTTGCAATTTCTATGGGATGCAGTGTTCTCTTCTTGCTGTTTCACACTTGTGTCACTGCTGTCACCAGCTGCAAAATCAGCTGCTGTGTTCCAACCTCAAGGTGACTGTATTTCTGCCTGCAGGCAGAGTTTGCAATAGGGAGAGCCCTGACGTAGCACTGTGCTGTTCACAAAGCCTTTTGGGATCACTGTGGAGCGAAGGGAATTCCATACTCTACTGCGTACTATTAGACAGGAAATTAATCATCTTGGTCATCAAAGAAACGCCTCTGCTAAATTGTAACGCTAAATGATGGTTGCTCAAGCATTCACACTGGACCGGGTGCATCCTGAATCAGACTTAAGGAAAAGCAACACAAAAGACAGCAAAGATACAAAGTTCCATTTGGAGCTCAGCATAATGTGCAGAGGGGCAATTAATACAGAGTTAAAGCTCAAATGATGATCTTGGATGTTCCTATCTAGACATACCTGAGGTCTGCAGCAGGGATGTGGGACTGGATGAAGTGTGTCAGTGTGTCTCGAATGATTCTTTCAAGCGCCATATCCCTCTAAACCTTTTTCTTTAAAAATAAGAGGAAAAAGATCAACATGATCAAAAGGTATGCATGATATAGGCAAGTGTATGCTCTCCATCAGAACAATTCATGAACCCCTCCAACCCGACATGTCATCCCTGGGTAAAAGCGGTCAAAGATATCTGCAAAATGCAGCAGTATGAGGAAATACCAGCCCAAAGCAACCCAGTCTCTTGGGTCTGTCCCGCTCATGTTGACACTGACTGTATGCAGCTGTACTGTACATATAAAACGCCACCCCCCCACCCCCCCGGGTTGCATAAACTAAAGCTGGAAATGCAGACGTGTCCAACTGCAGGGCTTCAGAGACACCTCCTGAGCTGGAATGCTGTGCTGCCCAGCAAGCAAGTGTTGGGTAGTGGGTTTGCATGCTCACTGTGGAAAAGAGTGGACCTTCCAGCTAACAGCATGTGTGGTGATGCCTGCACTCAAAAACAATGGGGAGGAAGGGTAATGTCCCTTGGAGAAAAGACAACCTAGAGTGGATTTCACAGGGAAATACAAGCAGCGCACAGACAACTAATCTGCCAGCCAAAATATCAAAGGTCTCCAGGTCAGGCACGGACTGCCAGTGGAATCCCGCCCAAACAGGAACCCATTGTTGTGCTCAGTAAATGAGCCATTCTGCAGCTGCAACAAGGGGCGCTTGATAACCCAAAACTCTCAGAGGAGTGCTAAGAATCACAGACCTCCTACGCAAGCAATGGCAGAATGGGGCTGCCCACAGCCCTTGTTCAGCTATCAGTACCAGGCCTGGACTGAACCTGGTGGAGAAAAGCCATTCCTTAACTATTTCTTCCCCCTTGGGCCTACAAAGCTGATAGGTGGACAAACTCTCAGTATAAGCCCTGAGTTCTTCCTGAGGAAGAAAATTAGCCCTGTATCTACAAGAACTGACATGGTCATCGTCCGCAGAGCTTACAGGCTGCAGATGTCATCTTGCTCCTAACCATAAAACTCCCTGACTTCACGTGAAGCAGTCTTGTGGGCTGCTGAGAAATGATTCCCATGGGAATCAAGAAGGTTCAGGATTTCCTGAGATGAGACTTCCATAGCTAGCAAGATATAAGCAGAACCACCCCATCACATTCAAGACGGCTCCTAAGGGGCCTAGGAACAACCAAAGCCAACAGCCTGTCAGCAGATGTATCTTGAGAGTCCATTAAACTCTGCGTGGCACTTGGCTACCATCGCAAGTCCATAGTAACATGCCTGCACTCCTCTGTTTGTGGCTGGCCAGAGGAGCACACCCAAGCCAGCCAGACCTCAAGGACCATCTTTTACTGTATCCCTGTGTCAGCACCACTCCCTTGAGGCAGGGAGACAAATAAGCAAAGACGATCACAACAGCTGGCCACAAAAAGTGAAACATGCTGACAGAAGAACTACCCCAGTTTTCACCATGATCAGAGCTAAACACAAAAGCCGTCTAATCACCTAACCTGTCCTGCAGCTATGTATTAGTATCGACCCTCCCACTCATCTAGAGCCAGTAGCTAAAGAAGAAAACCAACCCTGTTTACATTTAGCTCTCACTTGGGACAAAGAACAATCGGTTATCAACACTATAATATGAGATGACCAACAGATGTATTTGAACCCAGCATATCTGCAAGAACAGCCAGGAGAAGGCACCATCAGACAAGGCTACTTGTTTGCTGTTTCACTTTTAAGCTAAAAAGTTTCTTTACCTCCTATAATTTCAATGAGGAAATTCCCATTTCAGAGCACTAGAGGAAACCAACAGCCCAAACACTCTTAAGTATGAGCTCTGCATGCAAAAACCAAGCCCTCAAGTGAACTCCTGACCACTGTGCTGCTCCTTTTGTTTTTCAGCCTCAGGAGGATCCTTTGCTGGCATTTTTCTCACTTTTGCAGATATGATGGCCCAGAAGTGTGGAAGCTGGTAGTAAAAATCACTATGTGTAAAAACACCTTCTGGCTGCCTGTTTGTTGTTTTAAATGACTCTAGTAATGTCATCTCTCTAGTAATGTGGTAGAAACAAGTTTACCTTTGTTCTCTTTGCAAGATGTGCAGAAAAAGGTGAGCTTCTACTTCAGACATTGCAAATCCAGTGATAAGATTCTGATTCTCACTGTTGGCAAGACGACTGTCCTAAGTAGCCAGTTTTCCCCCACTTTAAGCTTCTGTGAATACTCGCCACCACCAAACCCCTGAACTTGCAGGTTTCAGAAGAAAAATTATTTTCTTTTTAAAGAAGTTAGGGACAGAAGATCGAACCATAGCAGTCAAAATGTTCTTTCTGCAGTTGCTACAATGGAGAAGAATGCTTATTTCCTTCTTACTCAGAGTCCTCATGATATCCTGGGAACTGGAAATCTGCAAGATTTTGTCCGTTTCCCTGAAGCAGGCCAATATTCTGGGAGAGACAACTATATAATAACGAGAGCACAATTTACCATGTCAAAGGCACTTTTGTGAGCACTCTAAATTAGCTGCTAGTAATTTATTCTGATCAACAAAATGGGCAAAGTCACTCATCTCCTTAAGCAAAGACACTGGCAGGCAAGTCAGACTGGAACAAAAGAAATTTAGGAAAAAAATAAATTGGCAACAGAAATATTGTCGCTACGGCCAGTTATTAACTGGTCATTTCCAATCCACTTCCTCAACCTCTAACCACCACCAGGAATCCTGGTTTGAAATTACTTCAAACATTTTCCCACAGAGTTACCATGCTGCTATCTGAACAAAAGCTATTTCCTTGTGTCTACGAGAGGAAAGAAGGCACTAGGTTTTACTCATTGGGTATAAATTTTCTCTGGCAGCTCACACAAATACATCCACCAGCACACTCAGATTTAAGGCTTACACCCAGAGACACCAAGCTGCCACCTTAATCTGCCTTTGCAGAAAGGAAACCTTTTAATGACAAAAGCACAATCTTACAATAAAGAATAGAAAGAGGCTAGCCGATCCAGTATTTCTTCACGGGTCAGCCATCACCTTTGTACCTGGATAACCCATCTGTGCTCCTGTAAGACCGCAGGCACCAAGCCTTCTGAGAGACAAATACACCTGTGTTCCATCATTTATTGCCATGCAGGAAAGATTTTATCCCCTGGTAAACAGACTATTCTTACAAAACTTTATATGTCAAAGATCTATAATGCATTATAGTCTTGGCTGAACGAGGCTTGTGGGAGATAAGTCCTGAAGGTCCCCTGGGCTTTCAGGTTTGGTGGGTATTTTCTTGAAATAGAGAGAGCTGATTAAAAATCTATGGACAAACATTTTAAAATGGATTCTTCAAGGAACAAACGGATGTTGCTGCATGTTCTTTGCACATATCCAAGTTTAGAATTCCATAGCTCGTGACATCAAAACACGTTATGTATTACACCTTCAAAAAACACATTTTTTCTAGGTGTGACATGCGATAGTTAAGGGAGAGATTTACTAGAAGGGCTTATCCTTTGTGCCTAGTTTTGTGGAGATGTGATTTATAACGCACTGAAAGATATAAAACTCAGAGGCAGAAGAAATCGCTTTCCCCAGAGCACAATTGTACTGAAAAGGTGCTATCATTGTTTTAAACTTCCAGCCATAATTTCAATGTGGATATTAAGATCACTTTGGTAGCTGTCAGCTGATTCAACCCTGTCTATGAAAGTCCTTCTCTATTTCTTGTCATTATAAGCGAGACTCTGTTTAGCGTTCTGCACAGAATATAACTTTATTTTTCTTAAACATGTAGGAAGACATATTATTCCTGTTGCTCTGTTCTCAGAGTCTTAAAACTTTGCACTGTCAGAACAAGAGACCTCCAACCATTGGAAATCCTTGTAATTTTTCAGACAGTCTTTAAACACTGGAGTTTATCATTAAAGAGTCACCGGTGGAGCACTATAAGCCATCTTATTGAGACAAGCTTGGCTTGTAATAACAGGAGGGTTTACCTGATTTGCACAACATTGCCTGGCATCCTCATTTTCTCACCTCAGGCAAAGAGGAGTGGTATCAGTTCTCAAAATGTGAATGTGAAAATTATTCATTTTCTGTACTGGATACTTTGGCCAGCAGCTCAATAGACTATACCATCCTACTGTCTGTCCTGAGTGTCTCGTAATCTCAATCTCCCTGGATTTTCCCTCGTATTAAGTTAATATCAAATTTGTTTTTTGCAAAACAGCTGCAGAACAACACCCCCTAAAGTACAGTTACCCTTGCAGTGTCTGAAATATCTTGCCATTCTGTATTCCAGAAATGCTGGCTTCTTTTTGTACAAGGCATATGAATCTGCCTTTCCTCAAAACTGGGTGAAAATCTGACATGTTTGCGTATGGCTAGATCATTTCTGAAGGCTCTTTCAGCCCAATTTTCAGTAATCATTCTTAAATGGTCAATGTGATGGGATGGTGATGATTGATTGTGCCCTGGACTTTATATTAACAAGACAGACTTGAGGAGAGCAATTTAGGAAAACTGTTTCTCAGCTAAGAGGAACTGTCATTCAGATGTATATCAGCTTTTATGAGAGCATAAATTTGCCTACCAATTGAGCTGAGGTTTGCGTAAGTGGAAGGAGATGCATATTGTAGACTTTGGAAATATTCAGAACAGGTTAGAGAAACTTTAGGTAAAACTGATCTGGCTGTCTGGCAGAGAGACTGACCAAAACAACTTTAGAAGGCTCTTTTAGCCCAAGTTTCAATAATAATTCTTAAATGGGTAAGTAATGGGACAGAGATGGTTCACTGTGCCCTCTCTGAGAACTTGTTCGAGAAAGGATGGAGAATTTCTCTTGCAGCAGCATGTGTGGGAGCAAGTGTGTGTGTGAGTGCACTCAGGGAGGACTGGACCCCTGGGATATATGCAGCTCTCAGCTCACCCTGTGAAACACAACTTCCGAGGAAATCTCTGCTATATAAACAATATATACCATGTATACAATATATAAAGCAATAGTCTGACCTGCATGAGAGAGAGAGAGCTGTAGCTTTATTCCACTTCACCTCCAGATGTCAGTGATAAGGTTCCTATTGCTTCTTTCCCCTGGAAGTACTTTCAAACCTCTTTTTCATCTGCCTCCTAATTCAGTCCCACAAACTTGCTGCCAAGACCAGCCAGAGAAGATAAGGAACAAACTTGCTGCTTTGTGAAAGAGGACTAAAAAAGCCTGTCCCCAGATGAAGAAAGCAAAATGAGACTCCAACTGAGGGGAGGGGTTTGTGTGGCAAAGATTATTCTGCCTACAGGCACTGAAGGAACAGCTGTGTTTTCTTTTTCTATCCACTTCTATAGTTATTTATTCAAAAAGGAAGCTTTTCAATCACTACTGTTTAGCTAAAATGCAACAACAGACACAAGTCTTTTCTCCAAAAGGAATTTTCACTACAAGTACCAAACTATTTTATTTTTGGAAACTTTGCTGACTTAAAGGAAAACTTTCCAAGATAAATAACACCTTGCAGACTTAATTTCAGTGCTTCTGTTTTTTGTTTTGGTTGCTAAAGAAGTCCCTGGAAGGACTTCTGTGGTGTGGTCGCTATAGGAGAGCGGGCTGAGTTCACTGAGCACATAGCACAGTTGACTGGTTAATGCTATAACATTAAAATAAGGCTTTTGTTAGCAACTTAGTCTCTTCCACTAGATTACAATTAACACTAACGTCAACAGCCAGAATTTTCCCTCCCCTCTGATGGCTGGGCTGGATGCCTGCGCTTCCCAAAGCTACTCAGCCAATATTTGCGGTCTAGGATTATAGCTCAAGATAGAGTGCTCTGCTGACATTGGACTCTTACCTGAGAGAAAGCGTTGCCTGTATAAGGACTCAGCTCATGACCAGTGTTTGCAAATCACTTTGGTAACTGTAGTAGAATCAACAGCCTATGACTGTTCAGCCCAAGTCAAGAATTAGGGAGTCCTGCATGGGAAATAAAGGCAAAATCAGCGAGACAAGGAGCACAACAGACTCTGTCTTTGTATGCTGGTGTCCATATGCCATCATTCATGTCACTTGTGACAGTTTTCCCTAATGCAAAGGATACCATTTCGTCCTTCAGAATAAAAGGTACTATATAAAAGGCTAACTTGAACACCAGAACATCATACTTGTTAGCCTTAGAATTTACTGTCACGTTGGGATTTTTTTCAACGTATATAATTTCTGTAGTATGGCTTGAAAGGTCCCTGAGCATAACTACTGTCTTCCAGAAGAATCTGTGGTGTCATTATGGCTGTGAAATAGAACTTGTTTCTGGTTGCTTTAAAAAGACAGACAAGAAAACAAGTGTTGGATTTCCCTGTTGCTGCTGCTGCATGCTTTTGGCACATGGTCAAGGGCAAAGCATCTGAGACCCAAACAGGGTAAAAGGCTGCTACTTAATTTATCTTGAGCTATAATCCTAGGCCTAAAATACTAGCTGAGTAAGTTTGGTAAATTATCTATTTCCACTGCCTCTATTTCCCCTACTGTAACAACAATGATAATACTCAGCTACTTATCTCACAAGGACTTGAGAGAATTTGCCAATACTTATTATAAAGCACCTGAAGCAAATTCCATAAAAACACTAGATACCATTTCAGCATGATATATATCTTGGAGCACTTCACTGCTTAATTTTAATGCGATTTTCAAAAGTAATTTGCTTAAATAACAGATGTCTTTACATACTAGAGACAGCAATTAACATTTTTCTGGCACTGGCAATGAAATAATCCTAACTGTTGTACCGGGCAGTTTTATGACTTGTAAAAGCATCCCTCCCTAACGATCTTTGCTGTAACTAACGGGCTTGTTCCCTAGGAAGAATGAAGGCTCTTCACAGGCTTGTAGGTCAACCTATAAATCCCAGCATAAGAAGTCTTGCTATCATTATGCATTTGGGAATTAAACAGAAGTCCTGAATTTTTAAGCCTCCCACATGCTCCTGCCCGTGTTCCCAGCGTTCAGATCAAAAGGACAAGCTTGCTTAAAAGCCAACAAAGGAAGAACGACCAGGCATGAACGTGTAGGAGGCAGAAGAAAAGCAACGTCAGTTTTTATTCGGCTGCACACGGCTTCCTCGCGGACCGCTGCTAACAGCTGCCAATACACAGCCCAGGGCGCCCCAAGGGG